TTGGCTTGGGCCTGAAATACACACGGCCCTGGCCTGAGCCCAGACCTTCCACTGGGCCCTTGGCTGGGGGTGGGATGAAGGGGATCTAGGGAGGGTACGGGCTGCACTGACAGAAAATGGCACCCCTTAGACGTCTGAGGTGGCTTCCATAAGGATGATGGGGTAAAAGGAGAGACTCAGAGGACAGCCATGGTGAGTGGGTACAAGAGGGAGAGGGGCCCTGCTCAAGTCACCAAGCCAAAGATTGAGCTGAGATGACCTTACCACTGTCCTGAAGACTTCGGAATCAAGCTGTCCTTTTGGGGTTGAGGGGAGAATGGCAGAAAGGAAAAAGGAAGGGAACAGTGACTGAAGGAGATATTCTTTTTTTTTTTGCAATAGGGCACATGTGCTCGCCAGAGAGACAAAGCAATAAATCACCCCCAGGGGGATGGCCACACCGCAATCTGGGTAGTTAAGGCACTAGAGTCCCATATGACTGGCCATGGTTTGAGTCCCGGACCTGGTGACTTGCTTTCTGGGGCCAGCAGATGGTGAGGTAGTTAAGGCGCTGGACTCCCGTATGGCTAAACTGTGGTATGAATCCTGGACCTGGTGCCCTGCGTTCTCATCTTCCCTTTCTCTCTCTTTCTATCTCTGGTCAAAGTGAAAAATAATGACAAGTAAGATTAAATACATAAATCATTTTAAAAATCTTTTAGAGATTTTTTTTTGGAGAGGTTTTTGCTATAGGGCATGTGCGCTCGCCAGACAGACAGAGAGAGACAGAGAGACAGAAAGAGAGAAATCACCCCCCCCCCAGACATGGCCATTATGCTAACTGCTGGTCTCGAGCTTTTAAAGGCACAGTTTTGACACGAGGCTGCAGCGCGCAGATTGAGGGACTGAAGAATGTCCCGGGTTCCACTGGGGAAAGTCCTCTGAGGAATATCATGTAGGACACAGATGCTCACAGTAAGATTCAGGAGGAAACAGACATGTGGGAAATAAGAAAACTGGAGAAACCAATGGAAGATGCTCACCAGAGGACCAGAAGGAACATGTTACCCAGCAGTTCAAGCCAGATGTGTAGTGACAGTTTTGATGAAGAAAGTCAAAGAGACTATTGGAGGCCAAAGAATGAAATTTCTGGGACACTGGAAGATAATTTTCTTGTCTTTTCTTCCTTCCTTTCTTTCCTATTTTTTTTTTTTAGAGAGAGATTTTTGCTATAGAACACATGCATTTGCCAGAGAGACAGAAAGTGAGAGATCACCCCCCAAGGGGCATGGCCACGTGCAATCCCTTCTCCTCTTGGGAGGGGACATACATGCGCAGACGGGAAAGTGGCTACAGATGAAAAGTTTGCTGAGCACTCAGAGGGTGACTAAAAGGGGAAGAAATATTCTTATTTCCCACTTGATTGGGATATTTGCAGCTCTTAGCTTAAAACTCATGCTGGTCTTGGGATTGAGGCATGGCCATTTCCCTGGGTGTGGGGTGGGGGTGTGATTGCTCAGTTTCTGTCTCTCTGTTGAGTGCACATGCCTTCAGCAAAAATCTCTAAAAGACTTTGGGGACCAGCAGTTAGTGTAATGGCTATGTCACTGGACTCCCACGTAGTCGACCGCGGTTCGTGTCCCGGACCCGGTGGCTTAAAACTCACGCCGGGTGCGTGTGCGTGCGCGTGCGTGCCCAAGATCCTGAGAGGAGAATGGAAGAGAAGGGATTGCAGCGTGACCATTCCCCCCGGGGGGTGATTTCTCGCTTTTTGTCTCTCTGTCTCTCTGGTGAGCGCACACGCTCTATAGCAAAAACCTCTCCAAAAAAAAAAGGAAAGAAAAGAAAAGAAAAGCTCCCCCAGCCACTCTTGTGCTCCTCGTTTAACTCCAGTCTGCAGGTTGGTATTTGGAACTCAGGTAAGGAAACTGAGGCCCAGAACTGAGTGACTTCAATCATTCAAACCCTTCCCAATACACAGGGAATAAAATCCAAACCATGGTCTACATACGGCCTGTCCGGGTCTGGCTCCTGCCCTTCTCTTCCTGCTCATCCCGTCACCCTCTTACTTACACAGCTCGTCACGTTGGCCAAAGGGTTTCTATTCCTGAACAAGCTAGATTGTTTCCACCCCAGGGCCTTTGTACTTTTTTATAAAGAGGTTTTTGACAATAGGGCATGTGCTTGCCAAAGAAAGAGACACGGAGACAGTGAGAGGGGAAGTAAGAAATCACTCCCCAGGGGATGACCATGCTGCATTCCCTTTTCCTCCATTCTCCTGGGCACGCTTGTACATGCAACCTGCATGATTTTCAAGTCACCGAGCCTGTGACTTGAACCACGGTCAGCCATGTGGGAACCCAGCGACATAACCACTATGCCACCTGCTGGCCCCTATACTTATTCTTAGAATCCTTCTCATTAGAAGAGCTCAGCATCTCATAGACATCTTTGCTCACCGCCCTCAGATTTCCCTAGCCCACCGCTCTATTTCTCTGCCGTATTTACCCTGAGCTTTTTCTTTGTGGCATTGAGCTTTATCGGTGTTATTTATCTATAACTTTCACTCCCTCCGACTAAAATGAAAGTGTCACGAGAGCAGGGAGCGTGTTTCATTTATCTGGGAACAGCCTTAGTCACACAGTGGATACTTAGTACATTTGCAGGTGTGAGATAATTAACATTGTAGGGAACCCAAGCACTCGCTGGGCACCGGCCGACTGTGCGCCAGGCACCATGTGCGTCCTGGCCGGGATCACACCACCAGTCAGTGGAGGAAGGGTGGACAAGGAATGCCTGAAGATGTACGAGGCTTTTTCGGTGCCTGATGGGACCATGAGGGCTGGGACAAAACTTCCCTGTTCTTTTGTTCCCCAAGCAGCTTCCTCATCGTGGGTGGGATCATGGGGTGCTGTGCTCTGGCCTCTACCTTTCTTTGAGGGACAGAGGGTCAGTGGAGGTGATTCTTGGCAGGCCCAGTGGTCTGACAGGCAAGATTGCACACTAGGGTATCCTTGCGTGGGCCCTCAGGTACCTCCTCAGGGCCACTCGGTAGACATCAGACTTGGAAACTACCCGGGAGAGATCTGGATGCAGCCTCTGTAACCTGAGCCAAAACCTTCTAGAATCCTCATGCTATGATTCTCCGCTCCCTGTGTTTCTATTCCAATAGTGGAAATAGAGGCTCATTTGTATGCAGTTTACATCTCATCAGCATTTGTCACCAAGAGCCTTGACTAGGCAAAGAAATCAACTAGGGATGTTGATATCGGGAAATAGAGCAGGTCTTGTTCTAGTTCAAGCACTTCCTTTAATCAGTGAGGAAACAGGCCCCGAATGGAGTAGCAGCTACTCCTCCATCTCACCCCGATTTCTTTTTTTTAAAAAAAGTTTGTTTATCTATTTATTGTGAGAGATTTTTGCTACAGGGCATAGGCGTTCACCGGACAGAGAGAAACAGAGAGACAGAAAGCAAGAAATCATTCCCCACGGGGGATGACAATGCAATCCCTTCTCCTCCATTCTCCCCTCAGGATTTTTGGGCATGCACGCACACGGCCAGCGTGAGTTTCAAGCAGCCAGGTTCGGGACTCAAACCGCGGTCGACCATGTGGGAGTCCAGCGACACAACCACTACACCATCTGCTGGTTCCTATTTATTATGATGATTTTCAAGCCACCAGGTCCAGGCGCGAATCATGGTCAGCCATGTGGAGATCCAGCACCTTAACCACCACACCACCTGCTGGCCCCTCTACTCCAATTGCTTAGCTTGCCTCCCCTCTATAATGTCCCATGTGGGGACAGAACTGGCTTGTGATATTGTCAGCCCCAGCAGGAACAGTGTCTGCTTGGGCCCAGCTCTGGGTGCTGCCAGCCTAGATGCCTATTGACCTTTGGCCTTGGTCTTGGCCTAAAGTTGAGTCTGGAGGCGCTAGGGTTTGGGGTCTGTCTGTCTGAGAGCTCGTTTATCATGCTAGAAAAACACCCCAAAAAAAAAAAAAAAAAAAAAAAAAAAAAAAAAAAAAAAACACCTGCAGTTGACCCCAGTCTGCCCTCCCCCTTTCCCACAGGTTTTCTGACACCTGGCTGGGGTGGACAGAGAGAAGGTGGGGGTGCGAATAGAGGAGAAGGGAACATCCAAAACCTTCCTAAGCATCTGTTCCCCAAAGATCCTCAGAGATGGCCTGGTTGTGTGGTCTAATAGCGTTCTGTGTGAAGGAAGCAGGAGTCCAGGGATTAGGACCTGGGTCAAGGTTTTCGATGCCTTGCATGCTTTTGTTGTTTTTGCTTTCTTTTCTTTTCTTTTTTTTTTCCTATTGTAGGGCATGAGCACTTGTCAGAGATAGAGACAGATAGCTGTGAAGATGTTGAGTGAGCCTTCTGCAATTGAGTAAGTGAGAAAGCACCCTGCAGGGGGGACAGCCACACTGTAATCCCATCTCCAGTCGCCTCTTGAGGGTTTGGGCACACCACTAATGTGCCCAGTGTATTTTTCAAGCCGCCGGGTCTGGGACTCGAACTATGCTGTTGGCCGTGTGGGATCCAACTGCCATAATCTTCATGCCATCTGCTGTCCCACCTTGAGTGTTTTTGCAAAGGCTACTTTACTTCACTAGAATTGAATTTTATTATCCACATGGGTCTTTCATCTTTCCAATTATTATTAATAATAATAGCTGCTATTTATCCTGCCTTAAAAAAGTTATTTATCAGGACCAGCAGTTGGCGTAATGGCTATATCGCCGGACTCCCATGTAGTTAACTGTGGTTCGAGTCTCGGACCCGGTGGCTTAAAACTCATGCCAGGCGTGTGTACATGCATGCCCAAGATCCAGAGAAGAGAATGGAGGAGAAGGGATTGCAGCATGGCCATCCCTCCTGGGGGGCGATTTCTCGCTTTCTATCTCTCTGTCTTTCTCTGTCTTTCTGGCAAGCACACGTGCCCTATAGGAAAAACTTCTCCAAAAAAATAAAAATTATTTATTTCCATGGGAGAGTGAGACAGGCACCCCCAAGAGGGCCTTTACACTGTAATCCACCCCTAGTCTCAGCTAGCCCAAATCACAGGCGTATGTGTGCACTCCATGTGCTCAGGGAGGTGCCAGGACCCAAACCTAGGACCTTTCCCATGTGAGTTCAGCTGCGTTACTGCTATGCTACCACCTGGCCTTATCCTGTCCTTCTTAAGGGGCTGGCACTGTGCTAAATGTTTTACTATATTATCACACTTAACCTGTACAACCATCCCTGCAGGAAGGTAGAAGAATCAGAGGGGAAATTGGCCGTAGGTCTCGTAATCGATAGGTGGCAGAGCTGGAAACTGGACTCAGATCTCCACAATCCTAAATCTTAGGTGCACATTGTGTATGCAATGAGAATCCACCCAGAACTGCTTTAAGATGTACAAAAGTTGGGGCCAGCAGGTGGTGTGGTGGTGGGGGTCCTAGACTCCCACATGGTCAACTATGGTTCGAGTCCTGGACCTGGTGGCTTGCTTTCTCACTCTCTCTCTCTCTCTCTCTCTCTCTGGTGCATGCACATGCCTTATAGCAAATTAAACATAATAACAATAATAATAATAATAAATACAATTAAATAATTAATTTTTAAAAAGATGTGCAAAAGTTGTGGAAAGAATGGAAAAGACTGTTTTTATCCTTATCTGCAGGAGAAGGCAAAGAAGAGAGGTTTATCTGATAGTACTGGTGTTCAACGCTAGGAGACAGGAGCTGGTTTGTAAGCCACAGTCCATCTTGAATACGAAATGCTCACTCAGCACCTGCAACATTGTCAGCTCAAGGGTTAAGAAGTGGGCTCTGCAGGACCAGCAGTTGGCATAATGGCTATGTTGCTGGACTCCCATGTAGTCGACCGTGGTTCAAGTACCAGACCCGGTGGCTTAAATTCACACCAGGTGCATGTGCATGCGTACCCAGGATCTCCAGAGGAGAATGGAGGAGAAGGGATTGCTGCATGGCCATCCCCCTGGGGAGTGATTTCTCACTTTCTGTCTCTGTCTCTATCTTTCTGGCAAGCGCACACACCCTATAGCAAAAACCTCTCAAAAAAAAAAAAATTATGCAGGGAGGTAGAGAGGAAAAAGGTTGGGCATCAGATGTCAGAAGAAGGTCACACATAGGGCTGTGTGACCTTGAACAAGTTCTCACATTCATAAAGCAGGAAAGCACCTGTCTCACAGGGTAGTCGTGAGGATTAATAAAACAGCAGAGTGTTCGATTGTGGTTAGGTTCCCCTGCCCTCCTGCCTTTTGGTGTGGGGAGCTACATCCTCAGTCCTGAGACAGCCACGTAACTTGCCAAACTATTCTAGAACGCCACCCTCTTCATCTGTGCTGGAGGCCTCCCAACAGTCATGCTGTCTGTCTGGCCGCCTCTGCGTCAGACCCCTCTCTAACCCAGTCTGCTCTGAGTTCTCACGGCGCTTCCTCAAATAGCAGGGAAAGAACTCCTTTCCCTTGGCCGTCTCAAGTTCGCCACAATGTTTGGGAAGTTCTGAACTCTCACCTGGAGCCAGGCTGAAAAGAGAATGATGCCCCAGCATGTGTGCAAGGATCAGGTCTTTGTGTCTCTGGGGTGGCTTCCCAGAGGAGATGAGGTGGGGTGAAACCTGAGAACAAGATGGAATGGTGCTGCCTGTCCTGGAGGCCTCCGAGGCTCCGGAGAGAAGAGAGCACAGTGGGGACTTGGGCCGTGTGGTGGTGGTGGTGGTGTGTGTGTGTGTGTGGGGGGGGCTCCCGTGGCATCCCGGAGGGCTGGGCTGGGTCCGTCAGGGGCTGGGGTACCCAGGCCTGCACCAGCTCCACCTACCTGTACGTAGTTGTCCTCGCAGTAGTCGGCCACCCGCAGCAGGGCACTGTGGTTGCTCCGCAGAGCCTCCCGGCCCGTGGGGATCTCAAACTCCTGCAGCTGCTGCAGCTCTGCCATCACCCCAGCCTCTGTCTGCTCCCCAGGGAGCGCACTGGTTTCGAGTCTCGCCCTGCCCTTGATTGGTTGTGCTGCCTCCCCTCCCTCTTACTGCTTTTGGTTTCCTCTGTGTGAGAGACCCAGACCTGCCCGCAAAGGGCAGGCATGCTCACTCCCCGACAGGAGGAAGTCGTCAGTCCCTGCTCCCTGGGCCTGCGCCTCTGTCCCCAGCCCAGAGGAAGGGGGAAGCCAGGGGCCTGTTTGGGGGCCCAGTCCCCGATCCCACCCAGCAGAGGAAGCCAAGGTCGGGTGACTGCAATTGCTCCTGGTCCCGGAGAGGAAACTGGTCGGTGGGGGGATGGGGTGGGACACCGAGGAGGAAGGGGCTGGCCTGCTGGGGGGTGGTGGTGGGTGTGGATTTTCCACTCATGGAAGGGGGAGGAAAGGCAGAGGGTGGGGGCTTCCTTGGGAAGCTCAGGGATGAGTCACCAAGGGATAAGGGAGTGGAGAGTGGATAGGATATGGAGACCAGTCATACTGGGGGGGGACGGGGGGACAATGCAGAAACAATGGAAAACGGCCAACACAGCAGCAGAGGACTCGGGTTGGACACCAGGAAGGCACAGCCAGGGGTTCCTGGAGACGTGGCATTAAGCTCATGTAGAGTCATGTACCAGCTACACATGCCCCATAGTGCACGGAGGCAGGACAAGGTGAAGCTGACCGAGTGCAGTGTGAGGGTTACAGATTAGACCACAGGAAGAACGTGGATTTGAGAAACACCAGGCTCAAATTCCAGATTAACTTGGCGTTAGGAAGCAGCAGCAACAGAGCGCAGGAGCCTGGCTCAGTGCAAGGTCTAGTGCATGCATTAACAGGGCAATTGGGCCAGACAACTGTGGGTGGGGCAGAGTTTGCTAGAGTGGACCCCCGGCCTCTCCCAGCCCCTCCTGCCATCCAGTCTGTCATCCTAGAGGTGGATTGAGAGGATCCCTCACTGACCACCCTCGGTTTCACTGCCCGAGAGGGATCCTGCTGGTTGTACAAGTGTCAGCCAGAGCAGGAGCTCAGGGCCTGTTAAATGGCATAGCTCTCACGTGGTCCTGGGAGGACCAAGAGGAAGACCGGGATGTGGACCCTGTGCTCGGCACGACAGATTGGGGAGAGTCACACTCAGGGCTCAGGGGAGGCTGGCGGCAAAGAACTGGGACAAAGCCACCAGCATCGCAAGCGAGGAGTAGGTTCTGACTAATGAGAAAATGAAGAGTGAGTGAGGAAATCCTTGGAGGGTGAACTTGTGGGGACCCGAGGGGACACATGGGCTTCCTGGATGAGAGAAGGCAGGGAGAGGAAGCACGTGGGGCTGCAGGTGGGCACTGGGGCAATAGGACCCTGGGGGCTCTAAGGTGGGAGGGGTGATTAAGGAAGGGCTGCTGCTGAGCAGGCTGATGAGAAGGTGGCTCAGAGGCAGGCAGGCTGAAGGTGGCCTCTGTGTGCTGTTTGTCTTTGTGGGGAGAATGTCAGTGTCTTTGCTCTGGTGACAGAGAGGGCTTGGAGACTCAGGCAGTGATGGGCTTAGACCTTGAGCCTATGATCAGCTTAGGCTTCAGAGACTTTGGTCCAGACCATCTGCTTTATCCAAAGATTTTCAGCTGATGAAGTAGCTCGGAGGCTCAAACCCCATCTTGTCTGGGTCCAGGACAAGTGACTTGGAGTGCGTCTCTTCCCTGGCAGGTAAGAGGGGCTGAGGTTGCCCTGGGCTGGGGACTAGTCTTAGTATTATTGAGGTTAGGCACCAGACAGACCTTCCTGATAACCCTGCAGTGATAATACTAACATTATTATTGATAATAATAATGATTGTTATTGTCGTTATTGTTAAATAATAAATAATGTATTAAGTATTCCTTATGTACCAGGCAGTGTATTAAATTTTTTTTTTTTTTGGTCCAGCCTCAGTGGTGCAGTTGGTAGCATAAAGAACTGCAGTGCTGGGACCAGCAGTTGGCGTAATGGCTGTGTCACTGGACTCCCATGTAGTCGACCATGGTTTGAGTCCCAGACCCAGTGGCTTAAACTCACCGGGTGCATGTGCATGTGTGCCCAAGATCCCGAGAAGAGAATGGAGGAGAAGAGATTGTGGCGTGGCCATCCTCCCTGGGGGGGTGATTTCTCGCTTTCTGGCTCTCTTTCGCTCTCTGTCGTGCTGGTGAACACATGCGTCCCATAGCAAAAACTTCTCAAAAAAAAAATTAAAAAAAAAAAAAGACCTGCAGTGCTAGAAGCCATGTAGGTGACTGAGGGTTCAGATCCCCAGTCAACCAGAAAATGCACCAGGTATGCACGTGCCTAAGACCTGTATGGGCTGGAGGGCTGTGGGAAGCAGGATGACAAGACCCTGGTGAGGATGCCTCTGTCTCTTGTCTCTCTCTTTCTAGTACACACTCACACAAATTTTAAAAATGTATTTTAGGGACCAGCAGGTGGCGTGGTGGTTGAGGTACTGGATTCACATGTGGTTGACCATGATTTGAGTCCCAGACCCGGCAGCTTGAAACTCATGCTGGGCACGTGTGTGTGTGTGTGTGTGTGTGCCTAAAATCCCAAGAGGAGAGTGGAGGTGAAGGGATTGTGATGTGGCCATCCCTCTGGGGGGTGATTTCTCACTTTCTGTCTCTCTGTCTCTCTGTCTCTCTGTCTCTCTCTCTCTCTCTAGTGAGTACATGTGCCATCAAGCTTCAAGCTTGCTGTAGGAACTCACAGCAGGCTGAGTTCAGAATAATGAACGACGTCAAGGTGAAAGCAAAAACAAACAAACAAAAACTCTGAAAATAAAGTACTTTAGGGCCAGCTGGTATGGTGGTTTAGGTGACTAGATTCCACATGGCTGACTATATGGTTCAAATCCTGGCCCCGGAGGCTCACACAACATGCCGGACGTGTGTGCGTGCATGCTTGCCCAAAATCCCAAGAAGGGAATGGAGGAGAATGGGGTGTTAGCATTGCCATCCTTCCTAGGGAGTGCCTTCTCACTCCCCCCCACACCCGTCTCACTCTAGTGAGTGCACATGCCTTGTAGCAAATTAAAAAAGAAAATCTAAAAAATATTTTTATACATTACTTTCTAGTCCCCTATTTTTTTTTTCTTTTTATGAGAAATGGAGGAAGACAGCGACAGAGATAGATCTTGCCGATGGTGTTTACTGTCCTGATTACTGAATCCTTCCCACAGTGGCTCACTGTGTTGCAAGCTTCCCAGTTAGCTGGGATTACAGGCCAGTGTGCTCTGCTCGGCATGTTCAGGTTGACCTGAGAACTGAACCCTGGTCTCCAGTGCAGCTGCCATCCTCCCAAGCGGTGGTGCTACCTATGCATCACCTTGGCTGGGCCTGGTTGGTGCATATGGGGAAACTCAGCCTCAAGAAAGTCGTGTCACTGCCTCAGGCCACACAGTGAGGATACGGCAGGGCTGGGATCAGAGCGGGAGGCCGGCAGGCTCCAGAGCCCATTCTCTTGACCACTAGGGTATACTCTGCCTTGCCAGGATCTGGAGACCAATAAGAAAACTTCTACCTGAGTCATGAAGTGAAACAGTAAGTTTGCTTCTCAAATCTTCCTCACTGGAAGAAACTTCTGGGCTGGCCCAGTGGCCTAGTGGATCCCACATGGCTGACTACACAGTTTGAATCCCAGTCCAGTGGCCTGAAAAGCACACCAGGACTGTGTACATGCACACCTAAAATTCCGAAAGGAGGGTAGAGTGGAGGAGACCTTGCATGTGGCCATACCCCAATCAGGGGTGCTTCTCCTCTCCCTCTCCCTCGCTCTGTGTCCCTGGTGAGCAAATACACCCTCTGGAAATCAAAAGGAAAGAAGGAAGGGAGGAGGGAAGGGAAGAAGGGGAAAGAAAGAGAAGAGAAGAGATGCCTTCGTTTTCTTCCTAGACAGGTCCTGTCTAAGGGCGAAGGTTGTGCCTGCTCCATGGACGGGGAGCTTCCTCTCCTGCTGACCCGACTCCTGTTAGACTGATGGCAGGCAGGCCAGACGGGTGGCATGAACACGTGTGGAACGACGAGGTTCCTGCACTGAAGGATGTGGCAGGAATGTAGAAGCTGAGGTGTGGAGGGAGCTGGAAATGCCGATGGTGTTTACAGTCCCGGTTACTGACTCCTTCCCAGCACCAGGTCTGACCAGGCAGGATGGCGCAGGATCTCAGTGAGAAGGACATACTGAAAATGGAGGTGGAGCAGCTGAAGAAGGAAGTGAAGAACACGAGGGAGCCGGTGAGCCTCCTTCCCTGCCCTGCTCTCATCTCCATCCCACCCGGTTCTTGTAGAGCTGGGACACAAAGGAGGAAGAGGGAGGTTGGGTGGGGGGTCAGAGGTTAGGTAGAGGAAGCCAGATCCTACATGGCCAATTAAGATTTGAATTTCAGCCCCACTGGCTTGAAAAACACACCCTGGGACCAGCAGATGGCATGATGGTTATGTCATTGGCCTCCCACAGAGTCCACTGCAGTTCGAGTCCCGGACTTGGTGGCTTAAAACTCACGCCAGCACATATATGTGCATGCCCAAAATCCCGAGAGGATTGTGTGGTTGCCACCTCCCCCCCAACCCCGGGGGATTATTTCTCACTTTCTCTCTCTCTCTCTCTGTCTCTTAGGTGAGCATGTTAACCCTATAGCAAAAATCTCCCTAGGGAAAAAAAAAAGAAAAAGAAAAACACACCCTGGGGCTGGCAGGTGGCATGGTGGTTAAGGCTCTGGACTTCCACACGACTGATTATGGTTCAAATTCCAGGCCTGGAGGCTTGCTTTCTCACATTTCCTCTCTCATTCTCTCATTCTGTCTCTCTCTGGTCAAATTAAAAATTAAATAAAAATAGATAAATAATTTTTTTTTGAGAGGTTTTTGCTATAGGGCACATGTGCTCTCCAGAAAGACAGAGACAGAGAGTCAGAAAGCGAGAAATCACTCCCGGGGGTATGGCCACGCTTCAATTCCTTCTCCTCCATTCTCCTCTCAGAATCTTGGGCACGAACGCACATGCACCTGGCGTGAGTTTAAGCCAGCGAGTCTGCGACTCGAACCGTGGTCGACCACGTGGGAATCCAGCAACATAGCCATCATGCCAACTGCTGATCCTATAAATAAATAATGCTTAAACACACACACACCTTACACGTGTGTAAGCATGCCCAGGATCCTGATAGATGGAGAACTGAGAGAAAAAGGATACCGTGTGATCAGGCCCTATTGGAATGTTTTCTCTCTCTCTCTCTCTCTCTCTCTCTCATACCATGCACACACACCCTGGCATAAAAGTAATAAAAATAAATTTTAAATGGAAAAGAGGGGTAGATGTGGGACCAGAAGATAGAGTAGCGGTTACGCTCTGTCTCTCTGTCTCTGTCTCTCCAGCAAGTGTATGTGCCTTATAGTAAAATCTCTGCAAATAAATAAATAAAACAGGAGTAAGTGGGAACTTTCCAGGGCAGCAGGAGCACATGTATCTCTTAAGTGGGGTAGATGTCAAAGGAGCTGGGGTCTGAGTTCCTGAAGGTGCCCAGGAGAGCACCTTGGAGCCTGGCTGACCCCAGCATGTCAGCCCTGTCTCCAGGCTGGGCTTGGACAGGCATCCTGTGAAGGTGAGAGCTGGGGTGTGTGGGTCACCCCCCACATACATCTGCCTGTCCCTTTTGTCTTTCCCCCCTCCCACCTCTGTCCTCACCCTGACCAAGTCATGGATCCTGAGATATCAACAAGCCCCATCATCACCTTTGCGTATTCTTGCAGATTTCGAAGACAGGAAAAAACATCAAGGATTTTGTGGAGACCCAAGCAGCAAATGACCCTCTTCTCAAAGGCGTCCCTGAGGACAAGAATCCCTTCAAGGAGAAAGGTGGCTGTATGATTAGCTGACGGCCCCAGAGCCCCAAGTATCTGCCCCTCCTTACCCAGGACCACGTGCCCTAGGGCATCTAGAGAACCAGTGGGTACCCCCTGTCTTAGAGAATAAGTGAGGAGACCTGGATAAGCACATTGTGAACCTACTCCCCAATCCCACCTTTCTCCCATCATCTCCACCTGCCGGGTCACGAGGACCCCCAGGAGAGCTCTGCTGGCTGAACAGCTGTCTCTGTGGGTGTGTGGGGGGCTGTGTGTGTGAAGAGCCTACAGTAACCGCCAACCAGAGGACAGACCTTAGGAAGCATCTGCTTCTCCCTCGGAAGCATCTTGCCCCTCCCCTCCCTTTCCCCCCAACACTCTCATCTAGAAGAACAGCACATCTCCCTCAGAGTAGTTTGAGTAGGGGGCTGGGCTGGGGGGGGTCCTTTTCCCCATCTCACGGTCTATCTTGTAGTCCTCTTCCCAGTCATGTAGCTCACCCCAGGTGGGTTGATGATAAAAAGCGTTTGTGAAGTCATGACTTCGTGATTTATTTAATATTGCTGAGTGTCTGCTCCGTGCTGGGAGCTCGGGGTAGAAGAGTGAGCGAGACTAACAAGGCGCCTCTGCCACGGGTGTTAGCAGGGAAGACACGCAGCAGTTTACAGTTATGTCAGTAATTGTGCCAAGGGGCGGGCAAGGCCACTGCGGGAACTCACGGCAGGCTGAGTCCAACCATGAACGAGGTCAAGGTGAGTGACAGCGGGAAGGGCACAGAGCACCCGGGACACTGGGTCAAATGCTGAAAGACCTTTCTGCGAGCTCGAGTTCGGCTGAGAACATTCATCTCCATCCTGAAGGCACTAGGAGACCTAGGAGGTGTTTAAGCAGCCAAAGGACAGGCTTCAAAGAGCAGAAGGGAGGCTGGGTCCTGCTAAGTGCTGAGGACACTGGAGAAGGCCCATCCCTGGGCCTTGTCAGCAGGGAGGGCACTGAATGAAGGAGCCACAAGTCGACATCCATGACACAATGTGTTGTGTATCAGAGAGGTCAGCGTGGAATGTGATGGGAGCCCATGGGAGGGCTACGTCACCCAGGGGAGGGGGTGGGTTGAATTCCTGGAGGAAGGACAGGGAAGCCTCTAGAAGGAATCCTAAAGGGTTAAATTGCAAAGGGGTGGGTGTTGGCCCTCCTGGTCAAAAGGGCAGCAAAACGGAGGCATAAATATGAGAAAAGAAAGAACTACGGTTTGAACACCAATCAGGTAGTTGGAAAATCAAGGAGACATAGACCCTCAGGAAATGTGCAGGAGTTGCAGGGGATGGGACAGGGAGGTTCTTGCTTGCTAAACAAACAAGCTTTTCTGTTGGGAGCGACTTGGTAATGTTAGAAGGAGATTTGCTTTTGGCCAAATTGAAAGGAGGGGAAACAGAGGAGGCAGAGAGGCTACCGGGAGAAGGCCTGAATCAGGGCAGCAGCTACAAGGCTAGGGTATGGGGTGGAGAAGTGAAATGAATTGAGAGTTCTTTGGGACACGGAATTTTCTTTCTTTCTTTCTTTCTTTTATTTCTAATAATTGGCTATAGGGAACATGAGCTCGCTGGAGAGACAGAGAGAGACAGGGACAAAAAGCAAGAAATCACCCCCCAGGAGGGAGGACCATATTGCAATCCACTCTCCTCCATTCTCCTCTTGGGATCCTGGGTATGCACACACACGCGCCCAGCACTAGTTTCAAGTTGCCAGATTAGGGACACAAACCACGGTCGACCACTTGGGAGTTCAGTGACATAACCATTACACCATCTGCTGGTCCCAAGAATTTTGGTTTTGTTTATCTTTTTCAATTTGCTATAGGGCACACAGGTTCCCCAGAGAGGGGAGGGAGAGAGAGAAAGTGAGAAAGCAAGCCACCAGGTCCAGGACTCAAACCACGGTCAGCCATGTGGGAGTCCAGAGCCTTAATCACATCACCTGCTGGCCCTGGGACACCGAGTTTTTAGAGCTTACCATCTCAGTGAATGATGGGTGGGAGAGAACTGTCAAAGATGAGTCCAAACTTCTAGCTTGAGTGGGGTGTTTGCTAGATAGGATTAAAAGTAAATTTCTGAAAACAAGCCTCCCACAATACAATGATCCTACCTACAGCTGCAAACTCAGCCTCTCTTCCCCCAAAGCATTTTAAGGGCAAGGTTGTGGGGCTGCTATGATCAGAATTCAGGACCTCCAATTCCCAGTTCCATCCCGACTCCAACTCACTATTCTGTACCCTAGAATAATCCAACCACTCCATACACTCCACTTCAAGAGAAGGCAGAGAAAAGGAATGAGAAAGAAAACATTTCAATACAATTATTTCAAACAGTGGGAGAAGGGGGCAGCCAGTGGTTAAGGTGACTGGAACCCACATGGCCAACCACACAGTTTGAGTCCCAGGTCCGGAGGTTTAAAAAACAGTCCAGGCACGGGTGCATGCATGCCCCCAAAGCCTAATGGGATGGTGAAATGGAGGGGAAGGGATTGCCTCATGACCACTCTCCACTGGAGGGTGCTCTCTCTCTCTCCTCTCTCTCTCTCTCTCTCTCTCTCTCTCTCTCTCAGGCAATTGCATGTGCTCTCTGGAAATGTAAAAAAGAAGACATTCCATAAATCCAAGGATGGTGGTATTTACAGAGACACAGCAGGCAGGGAACACAAACTCAGTTCCTGAATAAGTGCTTCCTCGGGAGGACAATCGGCTGTCCCCTCCTTTGACCGTGACAGTTGCCCAGAGGTCTGGCACTGAATAAGGAGTCAGGGCTGTCACTGTTGTTGGCTCGTTGGACAGTGGTGGAGCTATGCTGGTTGGTGAAGGAAGTCCATGCTGTTCCATCCATGCACAATCTCTATTCCTGCTTCTCTCCTGCTGCTTCCTGAGCCTTACCCCACCCAGCGTGTATCCCCTATGCTTATAAAGAACCTTCAGGGAACCAGCAGTTAGCGTAATGGCTATGTCGCTGGACTCCCACGTAGTTGACCGCGGTTCGTGTCCCGGACCCGGTGGCTTAAAAACTCACGCCGGGCGCGTGTGCGTGCGTGCCCAAGATCCCGAGAGGAGAATGGAGGAGAAGGGATTGTGGTGTGACCATCCCCCCTGGGGGGTGATTTCTCGCTTTCTGTCTCTATGTCTCTCTCTGTCTGGCGAGCACACGCGCCCAATCTCTCCAAAAAAAAAAGAAAAAAAAGAACCTTCAGAGGCAGAAGGAAGTTGGTAAATGGAAATGGATCAGGAGGCTGGAGCATCTGCTCATGTGGTTAGGCAGAAAAACCCAATCAAGGCAGAACACTCCCCACTCGAGGTGTAGGCGGGATGTTAGTGGGGGATGTCAAGGTGATTAAGCCACCTTTAATACAGCCCATGAGATAAATCAGTGGGCCCAGCCACATCTGATAGAGCAGTCAGTGGGCCCAGCCAATGATCAATCCAATGACGTATATTTAAAAAGTATACACCTCACAGAATGCAGCCGCCGGGACCTTTTTAGAGCTTTTTCGCTGTGAGGTTCCTGAGCTTACCTGAGAGACAGAGAGACAGAAAATGAGAAATCACCCCCCAAGGTGGATGGCTATGTCGCAATCCCCTCTCTCCATTCTCCTTTTGGGATCTTGGGCATGCTTGCACACATGCCTGGTCTGAGTTTCAAGCCGCCAGGTCTGGAACTGAAACGCAGTTGACCACGTGGGAGTCTAGTGCCTTAGCCACTGCGCCACCTGCTGCCCCCCTTTTGGGCTGCTTTTTCTGTGTTCACTCAGGCCTGCTCCGACCTCTCAGGAGTGTACTTCACTTTTACGTGAAGAGGGGTGAGGCGCCAAGCAGGGACGGACTCACTGAAGTGCTGATGACCCTGAGCAGGGAAAGGATGCCAAGCCAGGAAAGGGGAGGGAGGGGGAGGGAATGCTCTTAAATTCTTGGACTTCCTGGTCAAGGAACGTTAAGCTGAATCATTCTCCGATTTCAGATTTTCTGTCACCACCTTTTCACACCCCACCAGAGATGTCCCAGGAGGGGATTCCTGCGCCTCAGAAGGAGGGGGCGGAAATGAGAGCAGCTGCCTTGTTAACCTGGTGCTCATCTCCTAGGCCAGGCTGCAGCTCCCCATACCTCCCAGAGATCAGGCAGCCTCCACCCGGGCCTTTGGGCTCTCACCCACCAAGCCTGGAGGGAGCTGAGTAAGGACAGAGCCTTGTCTAGTATCTTGGTGCCTTGGGCAGAGGATGGTTATACCCCTAACCCCATGATCTTGGGGCCTCTGAGAAGCTAGTCAGACATCCTGCCTCCACACCCCCCAGTGATATACTTAAGCTACAGGCCTGGGGACAGGACCAAGTCTATGGTCGGCTAGCCTGTGCTGTCACACAGGGAGTCCTAGGCTGGGGGGGAGGACGGGAGTGGGGACGCATGATTTAACGCGGCATTGTTGAGATCGTGACATTCTTAATCACTTTTTTTGAATCGTATTTATCGTTACTATTATTATTATTTTAAACTTGCTACAGGGCACATGCATTCACCAGAAAGAGAGACAGAGTCAAAGAGAGAGAGAGGGAAAGTGAGAAGGCAAGCCACCAGGTCTGGGACTCAAACCATGGTCAGCCATGTAGGAGTCCAGAGCCATAACCACCATGCCACCTGCTGGTCCTTCTTAATCACTTTTTTTTGTCTTTCTTCTTTTTCTTTTTCTTTTTTTTGGAGAGGTTTTTGCTATAGGGTGCTTCTTAATCACTTTTGACAAGGGCTCCCATTTTCATTTTGCACTGATATATTGCTGGTCTTGCTGGGAGACACTGGCCCCAGTCCCATAGCAGAGGCAGGTTCTTATCCAGGGACAGGGATTAAGGTGGAGTTCAAATTAAGCAACAAAATGATCTTGCTCCCTGTCCTCTTCCACCATTTTTAAAAGAAAGTTTATTTATTTACTTCTTCTGGGTGGGGACTCCACCAGGGTCTCCATGCCACAATCTACCCCCAGTCTTAGCCAGATCATGGGCAGGTATGTGGTGCTCACTGTGCACAGCGGGGTGCTTGGACCCGGAACCCAGGACCTTCCTGTGAGGTCAGTGGTGTCATCACTGTGCCACTATCTGGCTGCCCTGGGCATTTCTGAATGATGACTCAGCTTCTACTCCAGTTCGAAGCTGGAGTAAGGGAGGAGCAGGAGGCGACTCCATACTTGTTTCTCGGCATGCCCTTTGACCCCTCTGACTTCTCTCCCGAGTTCACCTGTCTACGGCTTTACTGCCTCAGCCAAGCCTGGGGCTGAGGGCCCATCGCCTTTCACCTGATGATGTGGAACTCCCTTTGGACCAGTGCACCTGGCCACAGCAACCTCTGGGCGTGGCTGCCATATCTCTGTGGCTTCCTTCTTCAAGCTTTTCTTGACCCTCCACTCCTATAAGACCCAATCAGGACTCCTGGGCACCAAGGGCATGAACGCCTTCCCTTGCCAGCCAGCTTATCTCTGGGGCCTCAGCTCTGCCCTGCTAACGCACCCCCA